ACTTTTGTTTGTTAAGCGCAAATATTTGTTTCAAAACTATTTCTAAATCAGTTCTAATTTCCAGCAAACGAATAAATGAATAATAATAACAAAATGTGCTCAAAAACCTGAGTTATATCCTAAAACACATGCTGTGCCCCATATGGTCTAAAACCTGACAGGTGGGAAAATCTAAGCTTGTTTTTAATAAAACAAATATAAATATGGATATAATAAATAACACTGCTAATAATAATAACATTATACAAAAGCAAATTGTTATGAATGAACTGAAAAAGCCTCCCGAGATGAAGATGACATAAAAGCAGTGGTTTTTCATATTTATGTAGGCTAGAAAATAATATGTTTTATAATATTTTAATTCTTTATATTTATATTCTATATCAATTCTTGTTATATCCTATATATATATATCCTTAATATTTAATTTTTTACATATGTAAAGATATTTGCCTATTGCTCTCTTTTGCATATTAAGTAGTGCGTAAGCGAGCCGCCGGAGTTTAGACCGGGTTAGTTTTGGTCTAATGAAAAATCTATTATAGTTTCTCAAAATAGCGACTCGCCAGCAGTCCGCCTCATGCGCCTATGGGCGCTGATGCATTTGCTATTTAAACAGCGTAGCGCAACGCCTCAAAACGACTCTTGCGCCAAGCTGAAACTACCAAAAGACTATTGCGCCGCGCCTTGCGCCACACTGCGCCGGGTGTATGATAGGGCCCATATAGTAACCAGAAACATGTCTGCTATTTCTTGTTCAGAGACTATCTGTAGCAGCAGGAGTGTTTAGAACAACCCTTAATTGGATAGTTCACCCAAAAATTTAAATCAACTTTCAACTTATTCACTCTCTACTTGTTTCAGGCCTGTTTGAGATTCTTTCTTCAGTTGACCACAAAAATAGAAAGCCAGCAGCCATTAACATTCGTAGTAGGAGCAGAACATGTTGAAGTCAATGCTTTTGCTTTCCAGCATTCTTCGAAATATCGTCTTTGTATTCAACAGAAGAAGGAAACCCATAAAAGTTTGGAAAAAGTTAGGAGGATAATGACAAAATTTTCATTGTGAGGTAAACATGAAACATGGTCATCACTTCACCTGCCTAATGTCGCATCTTTCTCGCAGCCCCACAAGATGGCGCAGTTCACCAACAGTTTGGATCTGTAACTGCTCACTATCTTTGCAATCGGGGAAAAGGAAAAAAAGTTCTGTTGCATGCAGCTGTTCAGACAGAATTTCCACTCATCATTCACATACAGTAAGAATAAATATTGTGAAGGTCACTATGGAAGCTCTGTTATATGAGGGACTCCCAAAGTAATACTGCAACTCATTTTAAGGGAATGCCTTTGAACAGACGCCAGTTGGGAACACCCTCATGTTTTTTCTACTTTTACAGTTTCTATTTTTCTGTTTCTAACCAGACACAAAGCTATATTTCATCGGAAAACTAAGATACTGTCACTTACTCACCAATATGTTGTCAAAACCTGCATGACTCCTGACTGACACACTCAAACAAATCATTTTCTGTCGCCAATTAAGATAAAACAGCATTAAAGGGATAGTTTACCCAACAATTAAACTTCAGTCATCAGTGTATAAGACCCGCAGTTAAGAATACTCTATCATTTATTAACCACTTCATTAGCATATTTCATATTTGATTTCAACTGAAGAAAAAAAAGTGAATAAAGTGGATAATAAATGATCAATTAATCATTTCTGGGTCCTGTACAATTCAAAAACTCTTTATCGTGTAAACAGGAGTGAACTCTCATGTCTATGCAAGTTCTCCATGCAAAATGCTTGCTATTATGCCACTAAAACAATGGAGGCTGATGTGGAAAATGTAGGCACACGTTGTTGAACTCATGCTGTTTCTTGTTCGGGCAGAGGAATATACGAGTCCCCTGAAGGCTGAGGGTGGTTGTTGTGCGTCAGTGTAATAACACTTCTACAAAAACAAAACAAAACGAGGTATACAATAAATGTAGGTACTAAATTAAAGTGATTTTAAAAAAATTATGAAGATCATATTTCAACGTGTTTTTTTTAAGGTAATTTATTTTAATAATGTAATTAGCATTCATTCTATAACCCATACTAAAACCTCTTTTCATTTTTTACATATATTTACTCACTATTTACTCACCCTCACGTGGATTCACAACCTTTATAAGTTTCTTTATTCTGTGGAACACAAAAGAAAATATTTTGAAGCCTGAAACCGGTAACCATTGACTCATAGGAAAAAAACAAATATGGAAGTCAATGGTTACTAGTTTCCAGCTTATTTTAAAATATCTTCTTTTGTCTTCAGCAGAACAAATAAAGAGTGAGTAAACGATCACTGAGTTTTCAGTTTTGAGTGAACTATCCTTTTTAGGTACCTTTATAAAATTTAATAGTACTGAACTGAAACTGCGTCAGTCTAGTTTTTAGAGATGAAGCTCAGTTTAGCTTAGTTCAGTGTGGTTAATTTTCACTGCTGAAAGTCCAAACACTGAAGAGCAAATCCATCAATGGGCAGCTCTACAAGTCGCAAACCAGTGGCAACAGTGGCGTGGAAAAAAACTCACCAATTGACGAAAGTGAAGGGGGAAAAAGGTAGTAGATACTAGTACTTAATCATTAGTGACTAACGGGTATTTTTTTCTAATACAAAGAACTAGTTTTAGGAATGAACATGAAAATTTATAAATTTATAAAATATAAATTGTCATAATTGATATATATATATATATATATATATATATATATATATATATATATATATATATATATAATTTATATTGAATATATATATATATATATAAAGATACTTGTATCCTAGTATTTAAAAAGTACTAGTAGCATGAAAATAGTAACTTTGTTTTATAAACTAAAATTGCTTTCTACATAATACTATATTAACTAATCTAAATTTGCATAAGGAGACTGTTTTTGTATTTAATTAATCAGAAGAATGAATCATTTTACAAGATACATGAACACATAAATCGTTGCAATAACAGCAAATAAAATACAATACAATTCATGTTAACACATTAAACAACTTGTTTGAATATGTATTGGAATTCATGAGATCAATTGTAGCTATTTAAAATTTTCTGTCAGCCAACAGGTTTGTTCTCCTCAAGCTTAAAAGGAGAACAGAAAAACTATGCAATGTACAGTAAGGTCTATAAATATTGGGACATTCACACAATTCCAGCATTATTTTTTAAACTTTACACCAACACAATCAATGTAAAAAGCACTGAGATGTGCTTTAACTGCGGACTGTCAGCTTCACTATGAGGGTATTTACATCCAAATCAAGTGACCACTGTAGGCATTACCACAGTTTGCATATGCCTCTCACTTGTTAAGGGACCAAAAGTAATAGGACAGTTGGCTTCTCAGCTGTTCCATGGCCAGTTGTGTGTTATTTTCTTATTATTTCAATTGCAATAAGCAGATTAAAAGTCCAGAGTTTATTTCAAGTGTACTATTTGCATTTGGAATCTGTTACTGTGAACCATCAGTGAAGCGAGCCATCATTTGGCTGAAAAAAAAAAACAAAACAGCCAAAACAACTGTTGGAACATTCCTAAAAAGAAATAACACAGTAGTGAGCTCAGCAACACCAATAGACCCAGAAACCACAAAACAACTGTGGTGGACGACTGAAAAATTCTGTCCCTGGTGAAGAAAACACCCATCACAATAGTTGGCCAGATCAAGAACACTCTCCAGGAGGTTGGTGTGTCAGAGTCAACAATCAACACAAGACTACACCAGAGTGAATACAGAGGGTTTACCACAAGATGTAAACTATTGGTGAGCCTCAAAATCTGAAAGGCCAGATTAGAGTTCTAAAAAGCCTTTACAGTGCTGAAACAACATCCTATGGACAGATGAGACCAAGATCAACCTGTACCAGAGTGGAAGAGAAGGAGTATGGAGAAGGAAAGGAACTGTTCATGATCCTAAGCAGTGAAGTAGGGTGGAAGTAGTGACATGGTGTGGGCATGTATGGCTATCAATAGAACTGGTTCTCTTGCATTTATTGATGAGGTGACTGCAAAAGCAGCAGGATGAATTCTGAAGTGTTTCAAGCAATATTATCTGCTCATATTAAGCCAAATTCTTTAGAACACAGTGGACAGCACTTCACAGTGCAGATGGAGAATGACCCAAAGTATACTGCAGAAGCAACCAAAGAGTTTTTGAAGGAAAAGAAGTGTAATGTTATGCAATGGCCTAGCCAATCACCTGAACTAAATCCAATTAAGCGTGCATTTCACTTGCTGAAGACAAAACTGAAGACAAAACTGCCCCAAGAACAAGCAGGAATTGAGGACAGTTGCTGTAGAGGCCTGGCAGAGCACCACCAGGAATGAAACCCAGCTTCTGGTGATGTCTATGCATTCCAGACGTAGGGTTTTAATTGACTGCAAAGGATTTGCAACCAAGTATTAAAAAGTGACCTTTTGATTTATGATTATTGTTCCATCCTACTTACTTACTTTTGGACCCTTAACAAATGAGAGGCACAAATGCAAACTGTTGTAATTCCTACAGCGTTCACCTGATTTGGATGTAAATATGCACAAATCAAAGCTGAAAGTCGCAGTTGAAGCACATCTTGTTAGTTTAATGTCAAATTCACTGTGTTGGTGTATATAGCCAAAAATGTTAGAACTGTGTTGATATTGTGCTGAATATTTATGGACCTGACTGTATATCATCCAGGTTAAATGATCAGTCGTGGCACCGTATGTTTTTGTTTCACAAGTTTTATTTACATAAGACTTTAATTTAAATTAATCCAAGTTAGAATGATTTGTAATTAATTTGATTGTTTTAAAAGAAGTTGCAGCCTTAAAGTCAATGTAATATACTGTAAAATCCTGTGTGAATGAGTGTGATTAATTCTGTATTTTTAAAGATGGGGTGTGACGATTTACACAGTGTAATACATTATGTAATAATACTGCACAACAGCACAGTGCTTATATATAATAGTTTAATTTGTTTTGCATTTGTTAAACACAAATGATCCACATCATGAACAATTAAATATTTAAGACAATTAACAAGTTAAAAGCTTGTGGTCATCAAAACAATCGTTTGTAAATGATAAACTTGGAACATTGTGTAATAATAATAATAATAAGAATAAGAATAAAAATAAAAGACAAGTATAATGTAGTAAACGTGGTGGATTATAACACTTTATAACTGATAAAGTACATTCAGCTTATAGACTTTAGCTAACTGCTTGTATTTATTGCTAGGTCGCTATTAAAATAGTCTTAGATGTGCAACAAGTGCTTGTATGTACAGATCATGCCTCCAGAGGGTAAGAACACATCTGAAATGATTTCTGGATTCATCGAAACCAATCGTAAACTGATTAAGATGCTTCTTGTTCGTGTGCTTAATTTAAAGATCACAAAATGAATACTGCCCTAAGACATTCAAGCAATCTACTCTTTAATATATATGCACAGATGCTCATCAAGCCTGCTATTTGTCTTTAGTGCTGGTTTCAAATGGGAAAGTGTTGACCCAGCTCTGCGTACGAGACAGGCACTGCTGCCAGCTGTAGAGCGGCTGGTACTGAAAGTGCCGAAAAGCCTTGTCTGTGCTGACGGTGAAGGATGTGCAGGCCACAGCCAGTGTGTATTTGTTGAGCAGTGGTGTGTAGTTGTAGATGGGCTTCAGGACCCAGCGGACCATGTCGTTCATCCATGCTATGATCCACAGCATCCACACTGGCAGGCGAAGCGAGCGAAAGTTGAAGGCTGACAGAAACTGCATGTTGAATTCATCGTAGGGCTTGTATGGCGAGTCATCATAGCAGAAATAACATTCGCCACCCAGCCGATTGGGATGTTCCTGCAGAGCACGTGCTGCTAGTAAATGCATCCACGCCACATTACCTAGATGCAAAAAACAAACAACACACAAAAGACATTTAAAGGAAGAAGACATTAAATAGTTTCTTCAAAATATAGACCACATTTTTCTAAAGGGTTAGTTCACCCAAAAACGAAACTTATGTTATTAGTTTATGTCATTCCAATCCCTGGAGACCTTCATTCATCTTTGTAACACAAACGAAGATCTAAGATAAAACTGAGAAGATGAAATCTGAGACAATTAGGGCTGGGTGATTTGCCCCAAATCAAGATCTCGATTAATTGAACATTTTAACTCTGTTGCATTACTTGATTTTAAAATAATTAAAGGATAAACACACTAGCAACTAACTATAATTATTTACTTCAACATTGAACAACTGAAATTAAAACACACATTGCCTAAAATAGTCACTCTTTTGTATAAGAAAAAGTGAATATAAATAATTGCACTTTTGGAAATTAATATTAATGTTTTCTATATTAACAGTAAAAAATAATCAGTATCTCTTCTAAAAAATAACTCTTATATATCAGGTAAAAATATTTTAAAAAGTGCATTTCTTGAATCTTCCCTAAACAAATATTGTAATTTAAATACTAATTTTATTGGGATGAAAAAAATATGCCATCTCAAGGCTTTTTGGCGCAGTTTCCAATCTCTGTCAATGAAGTGCAAACGCGCAATGTATAGTTACATTGTTGAGAGGTGTGCAGGTACAAGGCCGAACGAAGGCAGTGGACCACGCCCGTGCGTTCAATGCAAAAGTATAAATCAGTCTTAACAGAGCGGGGTCACGTGAGGGAGAGTAACAAAAAAATTGACTTGGAAAAATTAGATTAAATTATAGGTTTTGAATGTCGATTTCGATTATTTTTCGATAAATCGCCCAGCACTAGCCACAATAATTGTAAAACTGATTGTTTTACTGATATTTTAGGGTTAACGTTTACTACAGGCAATACAATATAATGCCATTAGGGTCAGCAGCATGACACACATGCATTATTTTGACAATGGTTTGATTCCTTTTCTGGACTCTGTCTCTGAACCACTGCTGTCAGTGGAGGATGAGGGAGCTCTCGGATTTCATCCAAAATATCTTTATTTGTGTTCTGAAGATAAACAAATGTTTATGAGGAAATTGAATGACATGAATAGGAGTAATTAATAAAATAATTTTCATCTTTGGGTGAATTAACCTTTAAAGATTTTTTAATGTGAAACTATGGGCCTTGCAAAAAAGTAATGCAAAAATCAAAGGCTGTCAATGCTTTTAAAGTTAAAAAAAAAAAAAAAAACATAGAAAGGTAAAACAAAATGAATGCTCATGGCTCCTGATAATACAATGAGATCTTGTGAAATGAAACCATTGGTCTGTGCAAGAACTTGAACATTATTTATAAATTATCAATGTATTTATCCACAGTAATGAGTGCAATCACCACAGTCTGGAGTATGACTATCCTGTTGTATACTGATGAATATCAAACACTGGTAAAAATATTCACTAATGCTCATGGACAATTTACACCAATGATAAAAACACTAAAGGCTACAAATAGCATAGAAGACAGTTAAATAGGGAGATTAAATAAGTAAAAATGACTGTAGGTGGCGCGGTAGCTTAGTGGTTAGCACCGTTGCCTAACAGCAAGAAGGCCGCTGGTTCGAGCCCTGACTGGGTCAGTTGTCATTTCTGTGTTGAGTTTGCATGTTTTTCCTGTGTTCGCATGGGTTTGCTCCGGGTCCTCTGGTTTCCCCCACAGTCCAAAGACATGCTCTATACGTAAATTAAATAAATTCAATTGACCATAGTGTATGAGTGAGAGAGAGAGAGAGAGAGAGCATGGGTGTTTCCCAGTACTGGGTTGCAGCTGGAAGGGCATCCGCTGTGTAAAACATATGCTGGATAGTTGGTGGTTCATTCCGCTGTGGCAACTTCTAAATTAATAAAGGGACTAAGCTGAAGGACAATTAACAAATAAAGAAGTGACAGTAAAGTGCCGAAATAGGGTGGTGTAGTATTTGATTTAGTTTGCACAGTGAAACCCTGCTCAAAAAAAAAAACAATATACAAAGGAATAGTTAAGGTCTCTAGGTGCATGTAAAAGATGAGGTGTTTACTGGTTCAATTCTTAAGTGCCAAAATCTGCTTTTGTGTCATTTTGTGTGAGAATGCAACATCCTGTATTATTTGTGATCTAGGTGTGAGGAGTGCCTGATGATGGCTATGGCCTTCAAAGTGCAACACGTCCTGTAAATTACTTCCAGACTGGGAAGTTTAGAGTCAGAGATCCTCTCTGCTGTTTTTCTGCTGTGCCGATGAGACTTCCTGTTTTTTGAGGTAGAGCCTGAGACTGACTTAATGACAGGGCAGCAGGAGTTCACGGACAGCTGTTATGGGTGTCCTGCTGTCTTCATAAGCCTTACGAAGTGAAGCTTTGGGAGCACTGAGATGCAGACAGACTACGACTCCAAGGTACAGTGCTCAGCATATATATATATATATATATATATATAGTACACCCCTCACAAATTTCTCTTTTAGGTTTATATTTTAATAGGAAGCTATACAATATTATATTTGTGCTCATACATTAGATTAATCAGTACTGAAGCCAAATCTGGAGCTTATCTAATAACATAACTTACAAGAACGGTCCATAAACTAGCACACCCAAATTTATAATGTTATAGAAAAATATTAAATACAAATAAAATGAAATAAATAAATGTAAAAAAAAAAAAAAAAAAAAAAGCGAAGCAAAAAAAAATTTATAAAAAATTTAGTTGAAATTTTGTAGGTTGTAAATTTAAAAAAATTGTATTATCTTTTAATTTCTAAATATGTTTGGTGACTAAAATATTATTTTAATAAATATATCCGTTTAATAAATCTGTATGGACCAAAATACATTGCCTAAATTCACAGAGAAATGGAGGAAAATATTCATTTTCAAAATGGGTCGTACTCAATTATGCTGAGCTCTGTATTTGAATATGCTCAATGCAATTCAAGGACTTCAGCTTTCTGAAATCCAGGATCGTAACCAAATCTCGAAAATTTGTACTTCTCTCTTTGATGCCTAATTTCTAATTGTATGTCCTACAACAATGGTCTTCATCTGCAAACTTTGGTGTTCATTTTGTAAGGGGGTTTGCAGTTGAATGTGTAGAGAGGGAAAAGAAAGGGTTTCAGCCACTAATCTATACAGAATGACTAGATTGATGGTTTCAGCATGTAGCTATGCGCAATTTCCATGTTCAATTTGATGGAGGGAGAGACATATGGCTCTATTTTATTGATCTAGGTGCAAAGTCTAAAGCACAGGACGCAAAAGCATTAGGGTGTGTACGAATTCACCTTTTGCTATTTTAAGGACGGAAAAATACGCTCTGCTCTTCGGCGCATGGTCTAACAGGGTTGTGCTCATTCTCTTAATGAGTTACAGGTGTGTTTTGAGAATAAACCAATCAGAGTCTCATCTCCCATTCCCTTTAAGAGTCAGTTGCGTCACATCATGGTGCATTTGCTATTTACATGGCGGACTTTGTAAGTGGAAAAACGGGAAAAACTAAATGCTTAAACAGTTTAACAGACCATCTGCAGCAAGGATAACTAACGAAAGAATCACTTTCTTTCTTTTGTGGATAAGGAAATGGTGTTGTACGTACAGACATCCATTAGCCTACAGAATTCATTTTGTTCGTTAAGTGCAAAGATTTGTTTCAAGACTATTTCTAAATTCAGTTCTAATTACCAGCAAACGGATAAATGAGCAATAATCCAAACACAGGTCCTATGCCCATATGGTCCAAAACCTGACAGGTGGGCAAATCTAAGCTTGTTTTTAATAAAACAAACATAAATATGAATGTAATAAATAATACTGCTAATAATAATAACATTATGCAAAAGTAAGCTATTATGAATAAACTGAAAAAATCCCCCAAGAAGAAGGCATGGAGGCAGTGGTTTTTATATTTATGTAGAAAGTAGTATTTTTGTAACATTTTAATCATTTAGTTTTTTTTTTTTCATTTGTAAAGATAATTGTGTTTTGCTGCACATCCTGTGTGTTTTAAGCAACGTGTACGTGTTAAGGGCGCACAACTAACATGCTCTGTGCTGGACTTTAGACCTATTTTCAGTTGGTCTATTGTGCAGTCTAATTTAGTTCATCAAAATAGCAACGCGCCAACAATGCACAGTAACACATTTTCTTTCTAGATCGGAACACCTATGAGTCAATGTTTGATCCAACTGGAACCGATAACTATTAAACGTTTTTGGATTTTAAAAGGTTATAGTGATCATTAAGAGTGATGGATAATTCAGCATCCCTGTGAGCACATCAATAGAGTTCACATTTGGAGTCGGACACAGGTCTACTTTGATTAATAATAATGTATGGGTTGGCTATACTTCAACATCTCTGGAAGCAGAGCTGAAGCAAAACTGCTTAATCTCTTCAAGGGGATCCCCAGCCTCAACTTGTCGATTTTATTGACAATAGACTGGGCATTCACTATAAACTGACTGGCTAAGTATGATTTATGAAGAAAGCTTATGATCCAGAAAGGTGCAGGTGTGCGAAGTAGATTTTCTGGTATGATGGAAGGAGGGGCATAGACTATGATTTCTGTCCTGTGACAGACAAATTAGCTCAGCTCATCAGATTATTTAGAGTACCAAATGATGTCTAATCAACATTCATTTTTAAACCTCTGAAGCCATTTCTCCTCATTTCTTTCTTCCCACAGTTAGTGTGTTTTACGTTGATGAAGGTTAGTCAGAATCATCACACAGAGAAGTAAGAGACTGATGTTTAACCTGCATAGACGCGTCCATGCTCCGTATGAGGAGGAACTCCTCTCATCACCCAACCGCCATTACGGACACTGTTCAGATAGAAGTCCTTCATCAGCTGATGCTGTTCCCCATAGATTCCTGTTGGCCGCAGACAGCATGTGTAGAGAATGTTCCCTCCCTCGACCTAATCAGTGCAAGAAGGGGAAAGGAGAGAACAAAATGAATAATTTATTCCAGCAGAGAACTGGATGGATTGTATTTCAATTCCAATACAGGATGAAAAACAACACAAGCAATATTATGAAAAAAGAACACTAGGATTTATAGCGTTTAGAAATGCCAGTCAAGGCATAACACAATAAAACACCAAGAGCAAAGGCGTGTCTGTAAAACCATACATGATGATTTAAGTCTTCCAACATGAGTGCCATGATGTTCATATTTCCCAAGGGTTTGGGAGGGAGCCGTACTGGAAAATAGCATAGTTGGAAAATAGCAACTAGACCAATGTAAATGAGAAGCATGACTTTCAGCAACCACAAAATAAAGTTACATTTGCTTGAATATGATTTATGTAAAGCCCGATGCAAGAGACTTATGTTAAATAAATAAATATATCTCAAATATGTTTTGGCTGACAAGTTGGACTAGCTTCTTAAATCGACTAACTTTAGATATGCCAATTAATAACATAAAACAGCTTTATCAAATGCGTAAAACGGAGAAAGCTGTTTACTTTTATTTGCCATACTCTGTGTTATAAACTATTATTTCGAGTCTTCAAAGCGATTGAACATGCTAAATTGATGCCTGTGTTACCTTTGTGCCATTGGCTTCCAGCACAATTTTCTCAGCTGCAGCTTTGGATTTAGGGTAGGGCATCTCATGGAATATATTATATGGAGTATCCTCATTCCCTCTGTGTCAAGAAAGAACACAATAAATTGAAAAGCAGAGCAAAGATAGATAACAGGCATTTAAGTGATTGCTACATATTTTGCAATAACTTGAATGCATTGAAGTATAGTTAAAGTCAGAATTCTTAGCCTCCCTTGGTTTTGTTTTTTTCTTTTATAAATATTTCCTAAATTATGTTTAACAGAGCAAGGAAATATTCACAATATGTCTGATAATATTTTTTCTTCTGGAGAAATTGGTTTTATTTTGGCTAGAATAAAAGCAGCTTTAAAAAAACATTGAGGTCAAAATTATTAGCCCATTTAAGCAATATATTTTTCGATAGTCTACAGAACAAACCATCGTTTTACAATAATAATAAAAAATAAACAGGGAGCTAATAATTCAGGAGGGCTAATAATTCTGACTTCAACTGTATGCTTGAAACAGTCTTGCCATAGGGCAGTTTTAAGAATTGGCTCAATAATGTGAACAATGTAATAACACAGATTTTTTTATAGAAAAAAGTCAGTGGAAGACAAAGACATGTTTGACCATATACTGCATTTTAAATGGTGACATTACCTATATTTATTTTTATCATGTGTGACAGTGAAAATGTGACGTCATGTCAGCAACTTCTCCAAACACATACATATGCATTTATTTTATTTTTTCACTCTATATCCAGATATATCAAAATATATCTTGCTTATCTAATGTTTCCAAAGACTTCTATTAGAGTTGACCTGAGTGCACCTGATTTCCAAAGGGGTTAGGGAGTGTATATTTTTTTCTGTAAATACTTGCCTATGGCTACAAAACAATCATTATTATTAATATGATCTTAAAAGGGTATTGCTCATGGCAAGCAACTGATGTTTCACAATGTTAAATATCAAAACATACCACAAGGATATTTTCATTAAAATGTGGCAGGAAAGAGAGAGGGAGGAGGGCTGACAGATATTGGGTGTGTGTATGTTGCTATTTCATATTGAGAGAAATGAAAATATCTTGAAATGGGGGTTGTGTTTTAATCTCTCTCAAAGGAAAATGTTAATGATTCTAGCTCGTGGCAGTAATGGAAAGATTTAAAGGCTTTGCTCTGTCTGCTTTTTTACTCCGAGTTCTTCACCAGACTTCAGTTAAAAGTCTTTCATGTGCAAAACAACTTAAAGGCCATCCAAAAGCTATCATTCCAGTCATTGATAAGACTTGAAGACACATTTTTGCTTTGAGTCTGGCTTATTACTAGGCCAAACAGTCATCTGGAGTATTCAAGCTATGTTGGCCAAACAGATTGCTCTTTCAGTTCCTACTAACTGCGCATTATTTTGTTAATAATAAATGTGCAAATGTCATGTCAAGTAGAGAAAAATAAATAAAACAAAGAAAGAAAACAAAACAAACAAAAAAAAATTCCATTAGGGCTGAAGGATTTGGAAATCATCGCTTTAGAGCATGATATACAACACAAAAGATTCAAGTGCTTTCAGACATGCAAGTGTAATTTATCAGATGACAAGCGGTACAATGTCAGTGGCAGAGATCCATGACTTTGGTCTGTATTTTATTTTCAATTTGACAGACACTTCAAAATGGAATGTCTGAGGTGATTGTGGGATTCTGTTATGTCATATATAGAATGCCTTCAACATGTGCAAACCTATAGTCTTCCAGACATTCTTTCCTTGCGGCTTTTCACAGTGCACTTAACCCTGGGTAAAAGGGCTTTTCACACACGAAACTGTCATTGCTGAATCACTGTAAACCTAGAGTTTGAATACATTTCAGAATGTCAACAATTTACCCTGGGTTAAGAATTGACCTTATGTATTTATATGCCGATGTTTATAGCATTCAATTCAAAACTCTGGGTTAATATGGCACTTGACTCATTTACATTTAGCAGATGCTTTTATCCAAAGCAACTCCCAGCCTTGCTCAAGGGACTGACCTCAGCATTGGTATTGAGGGGTGGAAGAGAATTCACAGTGCAAGAACTCAAATCTGCGAGCTTTAGATCACAATTTCAACTATCCAATAGGCCACAGCTGCTGCATGTTTCCATTTGAGTTAACTGGCTACAGTCTATTCAGAATAAAAACGTAACAGCACCCTGCTGAAAAATCCAGCCTAAACCAGCCTAGGCTGGTTTAGGCTGGATTTTTCAGCAGGGCAGTCTACAAAAAAATATGAGAGGAAGCACAACATTAAATTCTTTATACAAACAGGTTGCATGCTCAAGAATCCTTATCAATGACACTGACACCACAAACGTGCAAATTAATCCATAGTTTAAGCATGTGAAATCTCATACTCAGGAATAGACTGTGTGCAAAATGCAAAGCAAGGTTACCCAGAATTTAAATAAGTTTTGGCTAGGAAATGTCCTCATATACTACATCCTTTTGAACTTGAACACCTTTCACTCTGTAAAGACATTTCTCAATTGTTACAATTTTAACATTTCTCAAAGAAGCTTTTTTAAACATGTCCACTCACCTGACAAATTCATCTCCCTTTACATTTGGACCAACCACCTCCATGGAGCTTGTGTAGACCAAATACTGAATACCGATTTCTACACAGGCTTTTATAGCATTCTCCGTCCCTAATAATGAAAAACACGGAGTAAGAAAATGCAATAGGATTAAAAAAACAGATAAGGGGTTAATTATCAGTAAAAGAAGATGTTTGTGTTGTGTAAACTGCTTAATGACAATCGCTAAACACGCAACTGATGATGTTCCAAATATGGATGCAGTTTGAAGCATCAGATAGCTTAAAAGAGAAGGCAATAAATCATGCAAATGCTTTCTGAAGTATTGCATACTGAAAACAAAGGTAAAGTATTGTTTTTTTTAACTCCTCAGCTTCAGTGGTATTCACAGAGGTGATTTCTGGGAAAATAAGGTGGAGTGCAGAGCTCAGGCCAAACGAAAGAATATGATATGATAGGACAAGATCCAAACCAAAGGGAAATTCCAGTATGGTAGTACATTTATCAACTCCTGCTTTTGTTTTCATCTGAATTCTTTGGGTTTGTCGATGGCTATCAGTCTCGTACTGAGTCAGGCTTAACCCTTGATCAGGCGATGAACCATACATGTTAACTTCATTGACATTGATTACAATTTAGGTTTGCTCATTTAAAGCAAAGAAAGCTACATTTGAAATGTTTTTCTGAACTGAGAATTTTTCTCAGCCTAAAATGTTTATGTTCAGTTATTTCACTTTAAATGCAATAAAAGAAACATTTTATTTGCCATAAAGTTGAAATTACTGAACCTACAAAGGAGCCATGAGAAAAATGCTTTCAAAACAGAGAACACGAATTGTTTGTTCTTTAAAAAATATGTGGTAGCAAAAAAAAAAAAAAAAACATTTTAAATTGATTTCTTAAGTTCTTTAAGTCATAAAAGGCTTGTAATAATTTGTAAAACTGCTAAGGTTTTCCAATGAGTATTTTCAGTGATTTCAGCATTTAATGGTTAAAGATGTTAGCAACACTTAAGCAGCGGAGTCTTCCACAGAGAGTACGGTAAAATTAAAAAAGTGCCCCTAGCAAAACCACAAGCATTTCAAGGTCAATTTGAAGACATCAAAACATCTGTGAGAATGCAGACGTGCAGATGCTGAGTGCACTTCCCTTTCTGATTTTTTGTATTAAATTAAATGTAGATGTATAATTAAATTAGGGCTGATGGGTATTGAAAAAAAACAGATATTGCAATATTTAATTTTTCTGCTATAAATATTACAATAAGAATACAGTTTGGGTACAGAGGTTGAATAATCACAATGCAAAAAACAGCTTCTCTCAATTCGTTTGGTCTCTTTTCTAGTCCAAATATCAAAAAAAAAAATCTTAGACCAGGTAAAACAATGCTTAGTTTTAACCATCAGAAGAACCAAGTGAAAATTAATAGTTTTTGCTTGTTTTAAAGAAATTATCTGCCAGTGGGGTACATGAAATAATCTAGTTTTTGCTTTGAAATGTAGATATTTGGCCTAATAGCAGGACAAAAATGTTTTTTTAGCATAAATCATATAATTTCCATAAATACAGTGATTAAATACAATTCTGTGGCTCCTGGTCAACTATAATACAGACTGGACATTACATATGTTTACGATGTGACTATTACGAATGCGTACATTACGATATCAATGCTAAAACCATATAACAAGTCGACGGTTTTTCCCATATTCGCTTGGACAGAGACGAGAACTCCGGTAAGACAAGAGGGGGAGGGGTCTGTGTCTATATCAACGATCGTTGGTGTCGAAATTTTGCGGTAAGAGAAAGCATCTGCAACCCTGACCTGGAACTATTGTGCGTCACATTACGTCCGTTCTATTTGCCAAGGGAATTTACTAACATATTTATTTGTGCAGTTTATATCCCACCTAGTGGGAATGCTATCAGAGCTGCAAACCAAATAGCTGACTGTGTTCATAACCACTTACAAAACAAACCTGATGCACCCTTTTTGATTATTGGTGATTTTAATCAGTGTGGACTGGAGAAATCCTTACCAGGTTTTTTTCAATATGTTAAGTGTGGAACAAGGAAAAAGAATATTCTTGACAAGTGTTATGGCAATATTAAGGATGCTTATGTTGCCAAAGCCAGACCCCCCCCCTTGGTAACTCGGACCATAACGTTATCCATCTCCTTCCTACTTATCGGTCTGTGTTCAAAACAAGTAAACCAACGATTAAGGTCATGAAGACATGGTCAAATGAAAGTATTGAGGAGCTAAAGGGATGTTTCCTCTGCACAGACTGGGACATGTTTTATCAGGATGCAAATATAGATACTGTTACAGAAACTATCACAGCATATATTTCTTTCTGTGTGGATTCTATCATTCCACAGAGAACCATCAAGTGTTATCCGAACAGCAAACCATACATAACAGGGGGAATTAAAAGCTGTATTAAAAGGAAGAAATTGGCCTTTAGGGCAGGTGATACCGTGGGGCTTAGAGCAGCACATAAAGACCTTAATCGGGAACTAAGGACTGCAAGGATAAAATATAAAGAACAGACTGAACAACATTTGTTAAAGTCCAATACAAAAGAATTATGGAACTCAATTCGGAGAATGACAAATATGACACCAAAAAGAAAGGCATTATTCGCCTGTAACGAATCTGTTAAGGCAAATGAATTGAATGATTTCTATATGAGATTTGAGACAGATAATTTTAAAAAATGTGAAGAAATTTTAGGGGAAGTAAATTGCAACATGGCTGAAAAAAGGAGGTTAATACATCAAGGAGACGTGACTAAGGTTTTTAAATCTTTATGTTCTAGTAAGGCAATGGGAACTGATGGTATTACATGCTTTCTTCTAAAAACATTTGCTGAGGAGCTTACACCAGCCTGGCATCGCCTGTTTCAACTCTCAGTGGATACACATACAGTACCAAAGCTTTGGAAAAAATCTGTGATAATTCCAATCCCCAAAAAAGCCTTGTCCACAAGACAATAATGATTATAGGCCAGTAGCCCTAACATCAAATGTCATGAAATCATTTGAGAAGATTGTAATAAAAGAATTGCGCAAGGAAGTTGAGCCGTACTTAGACCAGTATCAATTTGCATACAAAAGTAACCGTGGCACTATTGATGCAATTTCCACATTAACACATCTTGTTTTAAAACATCTAGAGAGCCCAGTTGCTTATGCTAGGTTACTTTTTATCGATTTTAGTTCAGCATTTAATTCAATTCAACCACATAAACTTTTGAAAAAGCTGGTAAAAATGCAAGTGAACCCTTTTGTTATTAAATGGTTTTATTCTTATTTAACAGACAGGACACAGCAGGTAAAATTTAATTCAGGGTTATCTGATGTAGCAACAAGTAGTACAGGGGCGCCACAAGGGTGTGTAAGTTCACCCTTTCTGTTCACCCTCTATACAAACGACTGCGTTAGGCAGCAGACAAACCAATATATTCTTAAATTTTCCGATGACACTGTACTATTGCACCTTTTCACAAAGGATGCCAGCATCATGGAATACAGAGCGGCTGTAGAATGGTTTGTCAGCTGGTTTGATGACCACAATTTGGAAATTTATGTTAAGAAAACGGAGGAGGTCATCATAGACCCCAGGTCAGTAAGCGATAGGAGCTCTATTGTGGTTATGATAAAGACATTAAGCAGGTTGATTCATATAAATATTTAGGAGTGAACATTGATAGTGAACTTAATTGGCACTCTCAGGTGTCAAGTCTTTGTACAAGAATTCATCAGCGATTACACTTTTTACGCAGACTAAATTATTTGGAGTGAGTAGCAGCATAATGATGACTTTTTATAAAGCAACAATAGAGTCTATTTTAAGATATGGGATTATTGTTTGGTTTGGGAATCTGACAGTAAAAATGAAAACCCAAGTTAATAACCTGATGAGAGTGGCAGGAAAAATCACGGGAATTAAGACACTTGGTTCACTAAAAGACATCTTTGAGTTGTGCACAATCCAACAAGCCAACAAGATTTTATCTGATTCTTCACATGTGCTGTCTGTGGAATATGAGCTGATGAATTCTGGCAGAAGATAAAGGGTCCCGTTGTGCAAGCATAATAGATATAAACATTCTTTTGTTCCTTTTTCAATTAAGTTGATCAACGAGCAAGCAAGGAAGGATGGTCAAAGACTAAGATAGCAGGATTGGTTTGCACAACAGAGGGCAGTGGGGCATATGGTACTTTAATTATTTTTTATTTTTTTATAAAAATTTTATTAAAATTACTGATTTTATGGAATCATATTTATATTAGGAGGTATTTTAGGATTAGATTTTAATGTGTATGCATGTTACATGTTGTCTTGTTGGTGTCGATGTACAGCAGAACCTTTTTTCTAAAACAAATTTCTCCTACGGGAGACAATAAATTTTACCTTGACCTTGACCTTGATATTGTGCAGGCCTAGGTTAAATGATTGCATTACACATTAAAGCAAATGTAATTCTCAAAGACAATGATCCATCCGGACTGGCAGACGTGTTTACTGTAAAACAGCAGTTGCGGTTGAAAAAACCAAACCTCATTATGTGCAGTAAAATTCTTGCTTTGCTTGTGAGTAAATTATGCATTTCTGGACCAACCTAACTAGTAAAGCTTAAAGGTTACTGGAAATGGCGGCAAAGAAAAACTGTGGCAGAAAGCAAAAGCACCCACACAACACCCACTAACACAGCTGCTTGTTTTCTTCCCTTTGTTGAGAGAAAAAAATACGTTTGTTTAACAAGGATGCTAAAAAAGAACACAAAAGTGTAGATTTGTACAATAAGAAACTACTTCAAATAATTAATTTCGATTTTTGAAGGCAAATAATAAATAACAGAATAAAAACAAGCACATAAGTCATTATAACTAATAAAACAAGACATTTCCAAATCATATTATTGAGTGATTTGTGAAGGGTAACACTTAAGACAGGTGGACTCAATTCACTGCCAACACAAGAATAAATAACTTGAAATCTTAATCATACAAATTCACACTATTCACTACATGGCTCTCAAATTCAATTCCTGGAGGGCCACAGCTTTGCTCTGCTACAACCCTAATTGTACAAACAAAAAATCTAAATAATTAACACTACAAGATACTATTAGGCAGGTGTGAGTTGGAGGTGTCTAGAGCTAAAATCTGCAGAGCTGCGGTCCAGCAGGAATAGAGGGTCTCACTTTAATTTGATGGTCCGCTTGTTGATTTTAAGTAACATTGCATCTACATGCCAACTAACTCTCATTAGATTATTAGTAACCTGTTGGGTTAGGGTTAGAGTTAGTGAAAGTTGACATGTACTTGCAAAGTTTCTTATAGTCAGTTAAATGTCTGTTGAAGGAGCATATCAACAGATATTAAGCAGACTGTCTACTAATACTCAAGTGGACCATCAAAATAAAGTGTTACTGTATTGACTTTAAGAACACTGATTTACTGTATTTTGATCAAATGAATGCAGCCTTAGTGAGCAGTTGCAGGGAAAATTCGGTTTTCTATAGTACTCTCCACCTGTACATTCAATACCTGTGATTGTAAACCCTTACAAACAGCAAAACACTTTCATTACTGATACAAAAGCATTGCTATCAGTCTTCTTTTATCTTCCTTTTAACTTATTATTCACTTACCTTGTACATTGACAGCAAAGATGACCTTCTCTGGAATTTTATACCACACATCAACCAAACTTGCGGCATGGAAAACCAGGTCTGCTCCCAGGAATGCATTGCGTACATCCTCATATTTTGTTATATCTCCCTGTATGATGACCACTTTCACATCCTCTGTGAATAAAAGAAAAAACGTGCTTAGCAATTTAAGAAATCCTATCTAGATTGTTTTTTCATATAGAACATTTTTAAGGGGATGTAAACAAAAACAGTGGTCCCAACATTTCCTGTTTTACATTTTGTATTTTCTTTTCCAAGAATCCAGAAAGAGCCACATTTTGATAAATAATGTTATGATAGCTGCTTTACCATCAAGTTATGATTGAAATGCCCCTTGTTACAGTTATGAAATAGTTGGATAATCAAGAAAAAAAATGTCCATGGATCAATGACATCAACACATTGAAATGGTCTATTTAAGCCATTTTCATTTTAAATAGGTCTTATGTTGTCATTGGAATACACATGCATCACATCCAGCAGTACACATAATAATTCATCAATAATATTTCATCGTATTGGAATCTGTTGACAAACCTTTGCTTACTTTATATAGCAATTTTGTAGATAAGCTTAAACTTTAAAATATTTGTGAAACGTGCTATCAAATTATTCTGCGTCAAACACGAACAATCTGTAGTTAGTTTGTAAATTCTAGTAAATGAGGGAGTCTGTGGGTGTGCTTTTGACAGCTGCTCACAAGGTCAGTTTAGCCAGCATCCTATTATCTGTGGATTGCATTAGAAAACATCCTGTTGTCATTTCTAGGATCGTTGATAATATATTTGATTATAATGACGTCTTTGTCTAATACAGGAAATAAACAATATGCTCCATCTGTCTGATGGAAGCAACACCCTCATCCTGGTAAACAAAGCATTGTTCTCATTCTTACTCAGCTATTTATACAACAATAAACATGTTTGTTTAGAATGGTCCTGCAGAGAAACGCAGTATCTGAATTTGCTGTGGTATTATCTGATTTTTGAGGCTTCCCATTGTTTTAATTTTTCAATGAAAGTGTTTAATAAAAAACAATAAGTATGTTTACATGGAAATCAAACCAATAATCCGATTTTAATGTGATTAAGCCAATACTCTGATTAAGAGTTTACCATGTAAACAGAGATTTGTTTTATTCATTTAATCAGATTAATGTCATAATCAAACTAAACAGAAATCAGATTAAGACATGTGGAGTATGCTGATTTTATTCACATTATTCAAGTGCAGTACAGACATGTAAACACTGCAATCAAACTATTACCATCATGTTGGACATTGACCTTTTTTGTAGTCAGATTCCATACACGCACAGCTGTTTGACACTATTCTCTAGACCTACATACATCTTTTGCCCATACAGTGTGCGGTATCAAATTGCAATTAAAACAACACTCTTCCAGCAGTTCATACTCGCATCCAACATCTTGTTTGTCAAGGGGGGCATGAATGAAATGTTTCTGAATGAAAGTAAAAGTGCCAAACTGCAGTTAAAGTCGACAAATTAAAAACCACCCAAAATTACATAACACTCCAGAGAAAACATGACGCAATGATGTTATTCAAGTGATGTGCTATAACATGTTAAAAAGGATCATGAAAGGAACATTAACACCTTATTCATATTATTGTCTAATTCAAATTAAGCCAAATAATTTGATTACTGATGTCCATGTAAACGTAGTCAATGAAACAAATCTACAAATGAAAATATAGCTTTATGGTTTTCTGTGGAGTCTAACAGTATTGAGGAACAAACAAAATGTAAAATAACACCATATAGCCTTCATTATTTAAATGATTAAAGACAATCAATCTTCAACTTTGTGGTCTAAATAAGCCTAAAATCTCACTGTCACGTCTTGAAAACACACACAATTAAAAATCTTACACGTGTAACTGCAACGTGACCATTGAAAAATCACACTTACAATATCGATGCTGAAGCAATTAATTGTGCAGCCCTGGTTGTTTTCGATTGTGCAACTATATCGGAGGTGTCAGTGTCAGTATGGTTAAAAAACACTATAGTATTTACTATAAATTACCATAGTATATTTTTCATGTGGGTGTCTGACAACTGAAAATAGAGCTGGCACCAGATACAGTATTGCAGCTTCTGTTACTTTTTACTTTGCACCTCTTTGTTAATATTTAATGTTATTTTATTATCATTATTACTATTTATTTAGGATATGCCTTTTCACAATCTGATTCTAATGCCTAACTATTAAACTGTTAAAAGGACTATAATTAAATGAAACATTCTTAAGAATAAAATATTACGTGTTCTTTGGAGTGTTCTTGCATTGTGATATTATATTGTCATGCTGGCATTATATAATGAGTGGAATAAAATGGTCTTAAAATTACAATAATATCGTTTATCATGATTTATTTTGGTGCCATATATATTGTACAATAAAAAATAGCCTAGAATTTATATATATATTTATATATATATATATATTTTTTTTTTTACTTGTTTGGCCATATCAGTCTATTTGACACAATCACAAGCACTGACAAACCACTGAGCCTGAACATTTCACACCAGCCTAAACATTCCACTTGTAAAAGGATTTTGCTGACAACTACCAGAGCAGCAGTCTATGGAGATTAAGGCCCAGACAGGGAAAAATGACAACCTCTTCAATAGCTACACAATACAAACAGTAATTACCGAGACTGGAATATCTAGTGTTGGATAATCATGTCTGTTATATCCCTCACCTTGAAGATGTTTGATTAACTGGGCTTTATATTAAACTCTCCTAGCGAGGGTTTTCTGATGTGCGACAGATTGTCACAACATTTTTTTCTGTCCAAGTGGGTCAATGTTCAATTCTGATATGAAAAGTTTATCTAACCTCTTTCTGTTGCCCTCTAGACTTTGACCACATGCTGAGCTATTGTCGATTTTGAACATCTGCATGAAAATAATGCAATCTTTCCCCCAGTGTGTTAAAAAAAACAGCAATGTATGTCAGGACTAAAAGGCCAAACAATGGACACTGTAGTGTATGTACTTGCCAAAAAGCCAACAAACTCTGCTAATAAAAAACAGTTCACTCACAAATTAAAGCCATCAGCAAGCTGATCACATTCAAAGTCTAACTTTCCTCAAGCATCTATATGCAGCTTCTGCTTAAGAAGTTAGGATATACTTAAAAATTTTTAGCTTTCAAATTTTAAAAACTGTAAGTTTCAGCTTAATCTCATTATAATGAGAGTTTTTTTCAGGGACTACACTGACCACAAGATTTGAGAGACTAATGTTGGGATATTTTTACAGAGAAGGACAGATGGAGCTGTCTGGTGATAATGGAAAAGATGAGCAGAGAGAACTACGTTGGATGGAAGTTGTCACCTGACCTCAAAAACTGAACCAAGCTCAAATACGCAAGCAAAAGTCAAGGTTATGTATTGAAATGAATGACAATTTCCATCTGCTTCTTCCCGTTACTGAAGTCAGAGCAACAGCAGATGCTTCCCTCTGGGCAGTTCCAGAAAAACCACACCATATAATTTAGTTGTCACGAATACCGGCATATTCTCAGGAAAACTGAATAAAAACAACCTCTTGGACAAGCGTGTCCAGCTTTACAGAAACAGCCTATTTAATTAAATCAACAGGTTTATGTTGTTGTTTAGTTTGATAAAGGAGGCTGGATATTTGCTCTATGCCTATACGAAAAGCCAACTATTAAAATAAAAGAATTTTAAGAGAGAGCATACAGAAACAATACATAAAGAAAAAAATTATGGTCTAAAAACAACTTTTGATACTCTTTTTATTTGAGACTTCATTTGCATGACCATTAATGTTTTGTGTGTATGGTTCATAAGCTGTTGACAGCAGTCTGTAGGCAGCTTATCAAGCAACTATTAGCTATTTTAAGAAAAATATAACAATCATCAATACTTAATTTAACTTTTTAGTTATATCATCTTTTTAAGACTGATTATGTAGGCTTGATTTATTTAATGCTATCAACCTTACGCAACAATAAAACTAACGTTATTATTAACTTGCTTGCTGCAAACGTATGCACAGGTAAAAAAGACTCGGTCAATTAATTCAAAAAATGTTTAATACCAACAACTAATTATAATTAATTACGACACAAAGTTTGAGATGTGGAAATTTTAATTTATTTAAAAAAAACTATTACATTCTGTTAACATCAAGCGTCTGAAAACGTAAATAAAACGCTCGTACGTTGACCGTTAAAGCAGCAAATAACGCTATTGAGACACAACTATGAATGTAATATTTAACCACGAACGGTCTGCTTGTGAGTTTCTTACCTGTACTCTCACTCTGAAGACTTGGGAAAACGTTTTTGTCGAAAAGCCTGATCTCCTTGACATTTTTTTCCTTCTCCAGCAAAACCCTCAACAGGTGCTGCCCCAGAAAACCGCATCCTCCAGTTATGACATAAGTTAACTTCGACTTGTTGTTATTGGACATTCTTTCTCCGTTGAATCCTCCTCGTTATTGACTGAAATGTTTGGTCCGTCAGCGTTTAGCGACGTCAATGACTTGGTTCACTCTGCAAATGTAAGAGAAAACAACCTGAGATCCAAATTTCGGCTAATTTAACAGCTCAGCCCAACGAGACGTGGGGGCGTTCCTCTGTCTATCTGCTGGATCCAATACGGGTAATTCCTGGCGCGTCCAGTAAGGGGGGCAAATAATGTCATTTTAATTTCGTTTTTTTAATGAATTTAATTGTAAACAATAAATTAAAATATTATATAGATAGTTATTATACACTAATGGTATTTTATATTACTAAAGGTACAATATATAGGTAAAGATGAAAAATTAGACGTTTATCTGATACATATCTGATTTTTGTTACATATCCTACAGAAGACAACAGAATTTCAGTTGAGTTTATTGTCATATAGTTTTGAATTTATATATCCAGCTAGATCAAGAAGTTTATAAAATAGATTTGTTCTTTTTTTAGACATATAAAAATATCCACATTTGTGCAGCTGTGTCTGTAATGTGCTGTAGATCAAAAACATTTAGCAATTTTATGAATAAATCCGTTTAAATATCGCTGAACACATCAAAAAATAATTCTGACTTCAACTGTTTTAAACTAGATTTTGTAACTCTAATAGTTGAGAAAAATAACAAATAGCCTATGCAGATAATTTTGCATTCATTTGAAGCGTTACACATGTACATATTTTCATATTTACACTAGTCTCAGATAACAACTTACTCTAAGCCATTATCTGTCAATTCACAAAGTGTGTGAGTAGTTAAAAATTAATATACTGATTATAACTCTGATCAAAGTCAAAATCTCCTTTCAAGGACAGTGTAATATGGCCTATATCAAACACATTTTAACCAGTTAAAACCTCTGGATCTTGCTCTGATTTGGACCAGTGGTTAAAACATGGCGTGACTGATAACTGATAAGAAAAAAACATGTTAGTGTTTAAACAGTTTAAATACATCAACCATCTAGTACATAGGAATAACATCTGCTTCTTATTTGTATAATAATCTTCAACGCTGCATAGCAACTATACATGACAGGAAATTTAAATGAGAATTTGTGAAACAAATCTGTTAACGGCTGGGGTGCATTACGAAATGGGTTACATCATCAGTCAACAGCTCACAACTTGACTTAAGAGGTTAAACAATGAAAAGAAGCCTCCTTAACCACCTAATGGGCTGTGAGAGATGTTTCATCTTTAAAAGAAAAAGAAATGACAGGGGCCAGAAAAAAAGATGATCCCCAAAAAGAATACTATACTCAACAAAATAACCAGAATCTCTCTCTATTTACAAAAAAAAATATTAAGCTTAAACATTATAGAGTTGTGCATTTACATCAGTAACTCCAGCCCAAATCTACAAAAAATAAATGAAGACAAAGTTTGCAAATGGCACTCACTCTCAGGCCAATAATTAGCTATTGCCTCATTGAATGTGGAGAAAAGAGGCTGCTCATCCAACTAAATCAGGCTAAATGATGGCCATTGGTCAGGACTCTTGATGAAGACTGAAGAATAAAACCTTGTCAGAGAACACAATGTAGAGCACAGGAGAAAAACATTACACATACAGGCATAGACAACAGATATCAGGGTTTAATGTGTCTTTTCACATAACTCTGTGGAACATGATGTTATTTTGATTACCACAGGGCGCTGTAATTGGATTGAGAAATACTAAATAATAGTGTCAGCTAAAACCCATATCAATTTATGATTTCATCGTGTGATCCTGCCAAGGGGAGAAGTATCGTTTACAAAATATACGCATTCAACAATTATTTGATTCTACTTTCCCCTTCTAGAGTTTTCCATATTCTTTCTCATATCTTGTACATGCAGTAGAAATCCCAGCAGGTGCCTCTTTATCTCAAATGTAACAAAGCTTAATGGATCACATTTTCATCGGGTATGGCTTACCTTTATTTTCAAAGAAGCTTAAAGGGACAGTTCACCCAAAACTAAAACTTCTGTCCTCATTTACTCACCCTTCACTTGTCACAAACCAGTTTCTTTCTTCAGTTGATGACACAAAAGAAGTTATTCCATCGACTTCCATAGCATTTGTTCCATAGTAAGTTTCTAACATTTTTCTAAATATCTGCTTTTGTGTACAGAAGAAAAAAGAAAACTGATAAATGTTTGGAAACACTTAAAGGGAAGTAAATGGTGAGTAAATTTGAATTTTGGATGAACCATTTCTTTAACAACCTAACTGTGAAACACTTTGGGCTCTATTTGAATGATCTAGGCGCAAAGTCTAAAGATCATGGCGCAAAAAGCATTAAGGGCATGTCGAAATCCACTTTTGCTATTTTAAGGATGGAAAAATGCAGTATGCACTGCGGTGCTTGGTCTAACAGGGTTGTGCTTATTCTCTTAATGAGTTATGGGTGTATTTTGAGCATAGCGTGCAGTAAACCAATCAGCAACCAACCAACCTTTACTTTCTTTTTGTCGTTCTTTCGTGGATTAAGGAAACGGTGTTGTACGCACTCCACTGAAGACATCCATTAGTCTACATATTTAATTACATTTGTAAGCGCAAAGATTTGTTTCAATACTATATATGAATTCAGTTCTAATTACTAGCAAATGAATAAATGAACAATAATAATGAAGTGTGAATAATGAGTTATATCCACATACGCGTCCTATGCCTGATATGGTCCAAAACCTGACCGGTGGACAATTTCTAAGCTTGCTTATAACAAATGCATATAATAAATAATAATAACGATAATAACATTATACAAAAACAAATTGTCATGAATAAACTGAAAAAAGCAGCCCGAGATGGAGACATTTGAGATATTTTTGTGGAAAATAATAATTCTTGTAATATTTTAAATCTTAATTTTTTTTAATATGTAAAGATATGTGGTATTGCTGTACATCTTGTGTGTATTAAGCAATGTGTACAACTAACAGGTTCTGTGCTGGACTTTAGACATGTTTTTAGCTGGTCAAAATAGCAACACATCGACAATGCACAGTAACACACCTCCTTTGTAGACCGGCACACGCATGAGTCCCCAAAGCAGCACAAATGAATTTGCTATTTGAACAACGTGATGCAAAATGAGAAAATTAGGGTTGTGTTTGAAAATGACACATTGCACCAAACACGTCTGCGCCTTATTGCAGCGGGTGTATGATAGGGCCCTAAGTCTTTAAAAAAAAAAAAAGGACCAGTTAAAAAATAAAAGTTAAAACCAGTTTAAAAAAAATAGGGCAAAAGCTTTAAAATCCTTTCCAACATAAGTGTACATTTGAGCTGAAAAGCCAGGACGCGTTAAACAAAAATAAAGATATAGTGTCTGGTTGATTTAATGACATTAATTGTAAAAGACACAAAACTTCACTTACATATTCGGATATTGCTTGCAAAAACACCTGTTAGCAATCAGAAGAAACATAAGAGACAACACAGGCACCTTCGAAAGAGAGCTTGAAGAGGACAAGGACGACGTGCTGAAGTGGGTCAACTTTCTGCTGAGCATTAAAGAAAAAATGGTCCAGATGACACTTCTAACCAACTATACAATCGGAAACTGGGGGAAGATTGAGAGTGTTATCTTCAGATAAGTTTTGTTTTTTTGCCAGCTAGGAGCTATGGCCTTGTAGATCAAGACCCCTGGTAGACTGCCCAAATGCTGATTCGCTTTTAATCAATTGTATCACCCTACAAAGTAATTACCAAGCTCTAGAGAACAAAAAGAAGTTTCTACTTTGTATTAACAGATACTCAAATATATTAAACTCAAGTATATCAAACATAAAATATTGCTGTGTATTTATTCAAACGGATTTCTTCTCGTTATCAGAACATTTTGAGATATATTTAATTATATCAAACTTTTGATATAGTCTAATATTGATAGCTTAAAACATTAAAGACACACCTGGATTCAAAGGCTTGAATACTGTATAAAAGGTTGGGACATACAAACCAGCAGCCCTCTTAAACAGGCTGTAAACTGTAAGTCTTAGGCCCTTTATTCTCAGTGGATTTTGTATTTGCCATGTTTTTGTTTTATTGATCGTTTTCACTGAATTTAATTTATTAATCAAAGTGTATTTTTAATAATTGTCTTCCTGGAGTGGACATTGACTTCATTTGCAGAACCCATATAGATGCCTTGTGGTACAGTATGAATCTAATTATTCCTTGAAAGACATCACAACAGATGGTTCTAAACAAAACTATGAAATATAGTGAAGAGAGGATCCTATTTAATTATGGTATTAAATGACAGCTTCCAGCATAAGTATCTTGGATAATTTGATGTCTAGTTTAAGCTTGCCAGATTATCAGAGCAGCTAAAACATTTTTTAAATGGTAATGGCTGTTTTTTTTTTTTTTTTTGTCTGTAATTATTTAAGAAACTGTTACAGATAGAAGGTATTTACAGTCAGAAGGTGTTACAGCTCACACACCACAAAGCATTACTGCTGAAAATCAAATTTTGAAAATTGGTTAAATTTGCCAATAACCACAGTGACGACCCAAAATGCTAATATAAAATTGAGTAAAATTGAGTAAAATTGTGCTTTTCAGACCTGGTGGTCATCAAAAGTTCATCAAAGGACCCCTCTAGATACTGAGTTCAAGCATCAGTTCACTGAAAAGTCTTGCAATAAAAACATGGCATCTTTTGCCATAGTGTGTTTGATCCAAAACTCAGTTTACTGCATAATGGTGAGATCAGATCTCTGTGTGGAGCACTGGCTACCTCACAGAATATAATTGTGTAAACATAATAGGGAAAGTTACCTGACTGAAAACATTTTTTGGGCTGGCGATTTAATTATAGATGCACATTGGTTGCATTATGCTATCCCTTGGAAACTTCATTGATCTTTCTTAAGGTTAGTCCATTAAATAATTAGTGGTTGCCACAGAGGGATGAACCGCCAACTTATCCAGCATGTTTTACACTGCAGATGCCAATCCAGCTGCAACCCAGAACTGGGAAATACCTTGGATTTCTCCTCTTTAATGAAATAAGGTCGAATGT